CACTGGCACGGCTCGCTCTGCACCGGCTGCTCGGGGTGGTCACAAGCCTTGGCTCCCGCCGTGGTCCCCGTGAGCTCCCTGTCCGGGGTACTGAGGTGTGCGGTCCTGCAGGTGGTATATGACGAAGGGCCCCTCTACATCTTCTCCCCGACAGAGGAGTTGCGCAAACGCTGGATCCATCAGCTGAAGAGTGGTGAGTCTCGGGGCTCTGCGGCTCCCTTGGAAAGCAGGAGACAAACACAGGCAATCACCGTGTGTGTGCCTGACTCAGAGTGCCAGGCTTCCAGGGGCTTGCTGGCTCATGCTTACGTATTCCCATGTCTGCAGAGGAGCAAACTGCTCCTGCTCAGGGGAGGTGGACACACCTCTTTCACCCTCTGACTCCTGCAGCACCACAGCTACCTTGGCTGAGGCTTCTTGCCTTCTCACTTGCCTGCTCCTAAGTAGCTCAAGCAGGGTCAGAAACTGTTGAGGGCAAGAGGAAATAGCAGATGTGGCCACACAGCTGCACTGCCTTGCAAGGTGAGGGTTGTGTGCCCAGTGCTTTAGGAAACACAGACCAACAGCCTGCTGGAAGCCAGGAAGCATCTTTCCCAACCCACCCCAAGCCTTGCTCAGTGGTGCTGAGCTAATGCTCAGCTGGGTACGTGCTACCTCCTCGAGCTGAGAGTGTGCTGTTGCAGTAGCACTGCACAAAGGGACTTGGGTCAGCCAAAATCTGCTGGAGCTGCCTGTGTGTGTCTCATGGTGAGTGTGTATCTTTCTGTGGCTTTGTGCTGGTGGGGTGAGATTAGCTGCCTGAATTGACACAGGGAAGTTGGCTCAAGCAAGGCGGAAGAAGAGCAGGCTGATAACAGGGAAGTCAGTTATCTCACGAGAGCCCTGTGACAGGCAGCCAGCCCTCTTCCCACTACCCTGCTGTGGCAGGAGGGTTCCTGTGGCAGCTGAAGCCAGTGTAAAATCCACAGGGAAAAGGAGAGAAAATGCTGGCTTTTTGCTGCCAGGCTGTCGTCATTCTACTCCACCAGAGAAGGGGCTGTCTGTACACTGTGGAGCTGCCGTGGGCCAGCCCCATGCTGTGGTGGTGTTGAAGCACATCCAGTTGTTCCTGCAGCTTGGGGAGAAGTATGAGGAAGCTGGTCAGTGCCTGCCTGGCAAGGGAGTGGGCTCCCAGCAAGGCAAGTCTCTGAGCAGGCAGGGGATGCTGGCAGTGCCCTCCTCTCCCCATGGACAAGCCAGGCACAGCACTGGTCTCCCTTCCCACTTCTGAAAAAAAAAAAGGGCTCCAAAGAGCTGTAAACCAGGGGGCTCAGCAGCCTGGGGGTTGCTGTATATTTTGGCTGGCAGGAGAGCCAGTCACAGCAAGACCTGGCCCTCCAAGCATGCTCCTGTCCCTTTGCAGAGGTGCTCAAGAGCTTTGATCAAATCTGAGAGGCAAGCCTGGCCCTTCCTGAGCCCCAGGGCTTTGTGGCACAGGGATTGCATAGCTGCAGCCCTGAAATGAGGGCAATGAGCTGAGAGAAACCTGAACAGCAGGGCCACAGGGGACTGTATCAGTAGCACAGCTGAGGGTGAAATGATTTAATGGGGCTGACTGCATTCAGGGAGCAGAGAGCTCTCTGCAGCAGGCTGGGGACACAGCTCTGGGTGACACATCTTTCCTCTGCCACAGTGATTCGGTACAACAGTGACCTTGTACAGAAGTACCACCCCTGCTTCTGGATCGACGGCCAGTACCTGTGCTGCTCCCAGACAGCCAAGAACGCCATGGGCTGCCAGATTCTGGAGAGCAGGAAGGGCAGTAAGACACTGGGCACCCTCCAGCTGCCTCATCCCCACAGCCTGGGGACCGCACAGTGCTGAGGATCTCTTCTCACCTTAGTCCCTCCTCTGTTCTGAAGGTTTAAAGGTTGGGCGGTCACATCGCAAAACAAAGAAGCCTCTTCCCCCAACTCCTGAGGAGGACCAGGTAAGGACTAGTGTCAGCATGTGGGTTTGCTGCAAGGTGTTTAAGAAAAGATCTACCTGGGAAAAGCCAACTTGTTCAATGACTGCTCAGAGATGTCTAGGCCAGGACTCTGCTCTCGGGAGGGATGCCAAGATGGTGTGCTAAGGGAGAAGGAGCTTGAACCAGGGGATGGAGCCCAAAGGCCTGTAGGAAAGTCAAATGACCTCAGCCCTGAGGTTCCCCAGGGGAGCCGAGAGGATGGAGAAACCCTGATGTAGGCTGGAAGAGTCACGGGTTAAACAAAAAGGTAGAGAGACAAAACTTATCTTTTGTAAGGACAGGAAGAAATGTTGTGATAACAAGTACTGGGGGAAGATATTGATCTCCTGGACATGATACATGTGGGAGCTGAGACAAATGCTGTGCTGACCTGGCCTGAGACCACTGCCCTGCCAGGCCTGGGTAGGGTCTCTTTCCTGGTGTGTCTGCCAGCCTCACCATGTCCCATGCTCTCCCTCTCTGTGGGAAGATGGTGATGAAGCCTCTGCCTCCTGAGCCAACCCCCAGCACAGCAGGTGAGATGAAGAAGGTGGTGGCCCTCTACGACTACCAGCCGATGAACGCACAGGACCTGCAGCTGCAGAAGGGCGAGGAATACTTCATCCTGGAGGAAAGCCACTTGCCCTGGTGGAAAGCCCTTGACAAGAACGGGTACGAGCTCCCACTGCCCATGGCACTCTCTGCAGTGGTGCCCTGTCCTGAGGCCCAGGTGGGCAAAAACATTCTTTAGCATCATGAGGGTGAGTTCAGGCTGCCTGCTGACCTGTGGGCTCCCACGGTTAGGAGGGTGAGGGACGATGAAGCAAGCTGTGGTATCAGCCCTCCCCAGATATCAACCCAGATGGGTTTGTGCCAATTTTTGAGTTTTTGACCCCATATCTCTTCAGCCTCCTGGGACAGGAACATCCTTTTCCCTTGGCCTCCTCTGCTGGTGTGTGACCAGGCCCCTTTTCTCTTGCAGGAGGGAGGGATACATCCCCAGCAACTACGTCACTGAAACCAGCAATTCCCTGGAGATCTTTGAGTAAGAGAAGGCACAGGGACCTGGCGAGTTGCACTTGTTTGGAGACTTTTTCCATTCGGTTCTGTTAGCCTAGGCAGGCTGCAAGCCCAGCCTGGCTGGGTCACTCTCCCTCTTGCACACCCTTTGAGGGCCTTCAGCCCCATAGCAGCCATCCCCGCTCTGCTCTCTGCACCTCCCATCCTGGCTGGGCCAGGGTCAGACTGGGCTGGGGTCAGCAGTGGCTGTGGGCATCCTCCTGACTGCTGTGTCCCTGTTCCAGATGGTACTCAAAGAACATCACTCGGAGCCAAGCAGAGCAACTGCTGAAACAGGAGGTAAGTGTTGCCTCCCCAGGCTGGGTCAGTTCTACACACCAGCCCTCTATGGTCTGCTGTCACATTGCGTCCAACATGGGACCAACCCTGGCTTGTGTGGGGAGGGGAGTATTGCCCCAACAGCCCCAGGAACCATCTCTATCCCAACATGACCTCCTCCAGGCAGCCACTTCAGGAGATGGACTCCTCTGGCTTATTACACCCTCTCCAGCCATGCTGTGATCTTCGCTCGCTGTCTTGCCTGTTACAGTCACACCTGCCCACAACCACCCAGTGCCCTTTCCCCTTTCTGTTTTAGGGTAAGGAAGGAGGCTTCATTGTCCGAGATTCCACCAGCAAGACAGGGAAATACACTGTCTCCGTCTATGCCAAGTCCTCTGCGTAAGTGGATCTATCCTACCTCAGAGGTCCCCTCCAGGCACCCCTCACCTCTGCCTGTCCTCCCATGCCACTAAGCCTATGTACTATCTCCGCAGAGACCCCCAAGGCATGATCCGTCATTACGTCGTATGCTGCACTCCCCAGAATCAGTATTACCTGGCAGAAAAGCACCTGTTCAACAGCATCCCTGAGCTTATCACATACCATCAGCACAACTCTGCAGGTCAGTGTTTGGGAGACACAGTGAAGCTAGCAGTGTTTTTACTGACACCATGGTATCCTCCTGAAGGCAAAAGGTTTGTGTTCCCTGCTGGAATGTGGCACATAAGCTTAGTGCAGCAATCTCTATTTTTGTGTTTCAGGGCTCATATCCAGACTGAAGTACCCTGTGTCTCAACACCAGAAAAGTGCTCCTTCCACAGCTGGCCTTGGCTATGGTAAGCCAGGCTGGGCTACCTCACAGTTCCCTGGTTGCAGGGTCAGTCTCTACCAGCAGCAACTTCCCCAGGCTGGGAACTTGACTGTCCCATGGCAGCAGGGCTCACAGCCTTCCCAGGAATCCCTTCCCAACACACTCTTGCCCTCTGGTGACAGACCAAAATATCCCACAAGCTACCTTGTCCCCATCCCCTAGAGGAACAGGTCTCAGATTTTGTGGATTTCTGTGGATGGTTTTTCAGGCAGCAAATGCTTATGAGCTTTTCTTGAGTGTGCTAGGTTGGATGACTGGGAGCACCATGCAGGGAGGTCACCTGCCCCCACATTATGCTCACTCTCTGCCCTAGGCTCGTGGGAGATCGACCCAAAGGATCTGACCTTCCTGAAGGAACTTGGGACGGGGCAGTTTGGCGTGGTGAAGTATGGGAAGTGGAGAGGCCAGTACAACGTTGCTATCAAGATGATCAGGGAGGGCTCCATGTCAGAGGATGAGTTTATCGACGAAGCCAAAGTCATGATGTAAGTGGTGAGGACTGTGCAGGTCAGTGCTGGAGACACCCTGCCAGTGTGGCTGCACTCCTGGGTGGTGTGGAGGGACAGTCTTGGGCAGTGCCACACTCTGCAAAATGCATCTGAGAACCCACTGACTTTGTGCTGATTCCTTGGTGAATTTTTCCACCATCAGCTGGGCCAGGAGCACCTTCCCTTCCCAAATTCTCTTCATTCACAGGTGCTTCCTTTGCTGCTTGGCCTTCTAGATGCTAAGAATTACCCTTGTCCCCACCACAGGAACCTGTCTCATGAGAAGCTGGTGCAGCTCTATGGGGTCTGCACTAAGCAGCGTCCCATCTTCATCATCACTGAGTACATGGCCAACGGCTGCCTCCTGAACTTCCTGAGGGAAACTCGGCAGCGGTTCCAGCCTGCTGAGCTGCTGGAGATGTGCAAAGATGTCTGTGAAGCTATGGAGTACCTCGAATCCAAGCAGTTCCTGCACAGAGACCTGGTAGGGCTGTGGCTGCAGGACACATCTCCAGCTCAGTGACAGCTGCAGCATGTCCTAGACAGGGTCCAGATAGCTCATCAACGTGATCTCCTCAGGCTCTGCAGCTTCCTCTGCACAACACCCCTCTAAGCTTCCCTGGCCGTCCATGGGTAGGATGCTCTGCAGCCACTGCTCTGCAGTGAGACCGCAAAACAGGCAGGACTAGACAGTTTTCCAGGGGATGGGAAATGCATCTGTGGCTGGGGCAGGGTTTGTGTTAGGCACTACAGGCAGCAGTGCTGGCTCAGATGTGAAAAGGGACCTCCTCGCAACCCCTGTGAAAAGCTGGGCCTGTGGTTTGTCAGGCTTTGGCCTGGCATTGCCAGCTTGCTGTCCTGCCACACCTGATCTCCTGGTGCTTCTTCAGACAAAATCCCACTAGGGAACTCACCCCTCCACAGATAAACAGGATACTTGGAGGCCTCTTTTGTTCTCTTTATTAAGAACTTTGTAGCTTGCCCCAATCCAGGTGAACTAGCAGGACAAAGTGAGGTTAACTGGGTGGGGATGAAATGAAGTTCAGCTGGTACAGGGGGATAGGAGAGGCAGTAGCAGGTAGGAGTAACTGTCTCCATCTCTCCATCCACAGGCTGCTCGGAACTGTTTGGTGAATGACCAAGGAATTGTGAAAGTATCAGATTTTGGTCTCTCCAGGTGTGTTAGCTGCCTCAGTCCCCCATCTCCTCTTTCAGTATATTCTACACTTTAGTCTTTGTCCCCACTCTGCTTTTCCTTGGTCTTCTGTCTTTCTGCTTCATCTGCCTGGCTCAACCTTGTGCCTCTCCACTTTCCACCATTCCTTTCTTACTTCCCCCAGCCCTTCCCCCCGCTTTGCATCTTCTTTCCTTCACGTTTTGTCTCCTTGCTGCAGCTTTCTCTCCACATTCTCTTTTTGCTATGCTTCTCTGTTACCCTATCCCTTCCCCAGTCTTGACTAACACATACTTGTTTGCCAAGGCAGTTTTGCCTTCTCAAACTCATGCGGAGGGCAACCTCTAGTCACTCTGAGCTGACCATTCCTTTTGGGCTTGGTGGGTTGCATGGAGGAGTGAAATGTGAAATCCAAGACACGCATTGATCCCATTTATCTGCTGCAGGTATGTGCTGGATGATGAGTATACAAGCTCCATGGGGTCAAAGTTCCCGGTGCGGTGGTCTCCTCCTGAGGTGCTTCTGTACAGCAAGTTCAGCAGCAAGTCTGACGTCTGGTCTTTTGGTAAGGGCATGGCATTAATGACTTGGAGGTCATAAGAGTTCTCTAACAACAGAGAACTCCTCTGCAAACCAGGGTCAGGCACAGGTCATGAGCAACCCCTGCCATTCCCTCTAACAGGCGTTCTGATGTGGGAAGTGTACTCACTGGGAAAGATGCCTTACGAAAGGTTTAATAACAGCGAGACAACAGAGCATGTCATCCAAGGCCTGCGCCTGTACCGGCCGCAGCAAGCTTCGGAGAGGGTTTATGCCATCATGTACAGCTGCTGGCACGAGGTGAGCGGCTCTGCCCCGCGG